CTTAGCATTAGGACCACTCCTTACCTAGCTTAGTATTTCAACCACTCCTTACCTAGCTTAGCTTTAGGACCCCACTATTACCTCATTTAGCATTAGGACCACACAGTTACCTTGCTTAGCACTAGCACCACTCCTTACCTAGCTTAGTATTTGAACCACTCCTTACCTAGCTTAGCATTGGGACCACACTATTATCTCACTTAGCATTATGACCACACAGTTACCTTGCTTAGCATTATGACCACACTATTACTTAGTTTAGCATTATGACCACACTATTACCTAGCGTAGCATTAGGACCACAGTATTACCTAGTGTAGCATTAGGACCACACTATTACCAGGCTTAGCATTAGGACCACACTATTTCCAGGCTTAGCATTAGGACCACACAGTTACCTTGCTTAGCACTAGCACCACTCCTTACCTAGCTTAGTATTTGAACCACTCCTTACCTAGCTTAGCATTGGGACCACACTATTATCTCACTTAGCATTATGACCACACAGTTACCTTGCTTAGCATTATGACCACACTATTACTTAGTTTAGCATTATGACCACACTATTACCTAGCGTAGCATTAGGACCACAGTATTACCTAGTGTAGCATTAGGACCACACTATTACCAGGCTTAGCATTAGGACCACACTATTTCCAGGCTTAGCATTAGGACCACACAGTTACCTTGCTTAGCACTAGCACCACTCCTTACCTAGCTTAGTATTTGAACCACTCCTTACCTAGCTTAGCATTGGGACCACACTATTATCTCACTTAGCATTATGACCACACAGTTACCTTGCTTAGCATTATGACCACACTATTACTTAGTTTAGCATTATGACCACACTATTACCTAGCGTAGCATTAGGACCACAGTATTACCTAGCGTAGCATTAGGACTACACTATTACCTAGCGTAGCATTAGGACCACACTATTACCAGGCTTAGCATTAGGACCACACTATTACCAGGCTTAGCATTAGGACCACACTATTACCTAGTGTATCATTAGGAACAAACTATTACCTAGCGCAGCATTAGGACCACGCTATTACCAGGCTTAGCATTAGGACCACACTATTACCTCGGGTAGCATTTGGGCCACACTATTACCTAGATTAGCATTAGGACCACACTATTACCAGGCTTAGCATTAGGACCACACTATTACCTAGCGTAGCATTTGGGCCACACTATTACCTAGCTTAGCATTAGGACCACTCTATTACCTAGCTTAGCATTAGGACCACACTATTACCAGGCTTAGCATTAGGACCACGCTATTACCTAGCTTAGCATTAGGACCACACTATTAACTAGCGTGGCATTAGGACCACACTATTACCAGTCTTAGCATTAGGACCGCACTATTAGCTAGCGTAGCATTAGGACCACACTATTAGCTAGCTAAAACATTAAGACCATTCCTTGCCTAGCTTAACATTAAGACCACACTGTTACCTAGCGTAGCATTAGGACCACACTTTTACCAGGCGTAGCATTAGGACCACGCCATTACCTAGCGTGGCATTAGGACCACATTATTACCTAGCGTAGCATTATAACCACTCTATTTTCTAGCTTAGCATTAGGACCACACTATTACCTAGTGTAGCATTAGGACCACACTATTACCAGGCTTAGCATTAGGACCACACTATTACCAGGCGTAGCATTAGGACCACGCCATTACCTAGCGTGGCATTAGGACCACACTAGTACCTAGCGTAGCATTAGGACCACACTATTACCTAGCGTAGCATTATAACCACTCTATTATCTAGCTGAGCATTATGATGATACTATTAGCTCGCTTAACATTAAGACCATTCCTTGCCTAGCTGAACATTAGGACCACACTTTTACCTAGCTTAGCATTAGGACCACTCCTTACCTAGCTTAGTATTTGGACCACTCCTTACCTAGCTTAGCATTAGGACCACACTATTGCCTCATTTAGCATTAGGACCACACTATTACCAGGCTTAGCATTAGGACCACACTATTACCTAGTGTAGCATTAAGACTACACTATTACCTAGCGTAGTATTAGGACCACACTATTTCTAAGCTTAGCATTAGGACCACACAGTTACCTAGCGAAGCATTAGGACCACACTATTACCTTGCGTAGCATTAGGACCACACTATTACCTAGTGTGGCATTAGGACCACACTATTACCTAGCGTAGCATTAGGACCACACTAATACCTAGCGTACCATTTGGACCACACTATTACCTAGCGTAGCATTAGGACCACACTAATACCTAGCGTAGCATTAGGACCACACTATTACCTAGCGTAGCATTAGGACCACACTTTTACCTAGCGTAGCATTAGGACCACACTATGACCTAGCGTAGCATTAGGACCATACTATTACCTAGCTTAGCATTAGGACCACACTATTACCTAGCGTAGCATTAGGACCACACTATTACCTAGCGTAGCATTAGGACCACACTATAACCTAGCGTAGCATTAGGACCACACTTTTACCTAGCGTAGCATTAGGACCACACTTTTACCTAGCGTAGCATTAGGACCACACTATTACCTAGCGTAGCATTAGGACCACACTATTACCAGGCTTAGCATCAGTACCACACTATTACCTAGCGTAGCATTAGGACCACACTATTACCTAGCGTAGCATTAGGACCACACTATTACCTAGCGTGGCATTATAACCACTCTATTATCTATCTTAGCATTAGGACCACACTATTACCTAGCGTAGCATTATAACCACTCTATTATCTAGCTGAGCATTATGATGATACTATTAGCTCGCTCAGCATTCGGACCACGCATTACCTTGCTCAGCATGGGACCCCACTATTAGCTAGCTAAGCACTCGGACCACTCATTACCTGTCTTAACGTTAGGGCATAGTTAAACGCTTGGGCAACCCTGTCGGAGAGCTTAGCTGTAGGGCGTTAGTTACCTATCTTAGGTTCAAAGGGGCACTGATCTAAAGCAATTCCCCGGGACTGGTTGTTGCTTTTGTTATTGTTTTTTCCCTGTGAGTACCCGGGTGATATAGCTGAAATCTAGACTAGTTCGCGACCTGTGCTGTGCCATTCGTAAGCGCATTTGTTGCACTTATTTTGACTTGCAACACAAAGAAAATATTTCACCTGAGCATTGCTTATTTTTATCGTCTGTATAATTTTATAGTCACAATGTGTAACATTTTCACTTAGGCAATATCTTAAACGCCTAAATATTCAGTTATTTTACAAATTGACTGAAAAATCTGTCCATTTCTGTTGTTATGATTTTAACATTTTTATGGTTTACTTTCATCACCCAGTGACTGAAAATGATAGGATAAAACGAAATCGTAATTCGAAGTATATTTCTAAAGTTTTGGCTTCTAATCCTAGCATAATTAGTCTGTTGTGATGTTTAAGCCCCTTTGAACGTCTTAATAATTGTTAGTCAATCTGTTAAATAAATGGAGAGATGTTTCAGTCAATTTGTAAATTACAGAAATATTATGACATTTTATAAAATGCCTGGGTGAATCCCATTTTCACATTGACTGTAACATACATATACACGCCTACAAACCAAATTGCTTGTGAAAACAACGAAGAACTTCCTAACGAAAACGTAGAGGAACAAGAATGATTCTATTCAATGCAACAGCAAATGGGTGAAAACAAAATGCAAATATCATAATTACAACCTATCAACGGTATATGTATACTTCTAGGCAGCCACCTGTTCGAGGAATGTATCCATGATTATCAACATAAAGGAACAATAACCCACACGCATGCAGCTGTACAAATAAACTTATTCGATGACACGTGTCTCTGTAACAATCTAATATTTTAATATATATATATGCATTTAAAAAAAATAAAAAAATTACATATTACCTGAATACGTGAAATAGCAAAAATGTTAATTGAATAGGTAACATTACGAAAGGACTTTTACAATTTCCAGAAGTAACATGATAATGATAATACTACAGCAGACTCATTTCATCATGTATTTCAACACAAATCACGATCGAGTTACTGTGATATGAAGTGTTTCCTGCTTACAACTTCGGTCGTCTTGTGATTAAAGAAAAGACACCACTCGACCCTAACCCAGAACTTTATCCGTGTTTCAATAACATCGGTCGGTCAGGAAACATTGGTCGGTCAGGAAACTGTGAGCTGAGCTGAGCTGAGCTGAGCTGAGCTGTGATGTGATGTGATGTGATGTGATGTGACACCACTCGACCCTAACCCAGAACTTTATCCGTGTTTCAATAACATCGGTCGGTCAGGAAACATTGGTCGGTCAGGAAACTGTGAGCTGAGCTGAGCTGAGCTGAGCTGAGCTGAGCTGAGCTGAGCTGAGCTGAGCTGAGCTGAGCTGTGATGTGATGTGATGTGATGTGATGTGATGTGATGTGATGTGATGTGATGTGATGTGATGTGATGTGATGTGATGTGATGTGATGTGATGTGACACCACTCGACCCTAACCCAGAACTTTATCCGTGTTTCAATAACATCGGTCGGTCAGGAAACATTGGTCGGTCAGGAAACTGTGAGCTGAGCTGAGCTGAGCTGAGCTGAGCTGAGCTGAGCTGAGCTGAGCTGAGCTGTGATGTGATGTGATGTGATGTGATGCATTGGTCGGTCAGGAAACTGTGAGCTGAGCTGAGCTGAGCTGAGATGTGATGTGATGTGATGTGATGTGATGTGAACATTGCATTACGGGACAGATGCAATTTTAAAAGATAAGACATTATGATTCATATATACATATAGACAGACATACATAAATTACATTCCTGTAGACACATACAAAAACAAAACAATCAATATTACATATTTGACGTTATTATTATACATAAAATGACAACGGTTTGATTATGAAGGGGTATTTATAGTTTGAAATGATAGATATGAAGACTGTATGAAGATCTTGTTCGTCGAGTAAAGGGAGTTCTCAGGGAAATAGCACACGTATTAACTGACACAACCAGTCAACCATATATTTCCTGTTCACAGTGAACATGTCCAATAGAAGACATGTATGAGATGAGAATATCCAGCGGTACTACAACAACATTCAATTAATCACACGGCTTACCTTTTTTATGAAACAAAGATAATTCGGGCCAAGTGAGAGGTGAGTTTCTTTACAGCACACTGTACTGTATACAGACCATATGATACCAAATGCGAAATTTATTTAAAAAGTGTTTCGATGAGTCAGAAGCGTGTCATCTTATAATTCAGTGTGAATGCTTTAGAAATAGTGTATTAGCTTCGTGTAATGTTTCTCTTTGAGTCTCTTGCCTTGCGTCTAGTGCGACAAGCTATACATAATAACCGAGCGAATGTCTATGGGGTTGCCTAAAAGTCGGAGCCAGGTCAGTGGGTAATACTAAAACGGATTGCAGAATATTAGAACGAAAAGTGCGGATCTGGACGACTATGTCTCCGAAGTACATTTCGGAAGCATAGTTTTGTTCAAGGAATTGAGTTTGAATTTAAATGTAACCTCGTAAAAGGTTTTCCACAATGACCTCAGCATATGAGGTGTGAGGTCCTTTGCAGAGAGTGACAACCTTTCTTCAATTAACTAAGGCCTCCCTCATTCACGATTACTCATTCATTATGAACAGACGCAGGCTGTTTTACTAGAAGTGGATATTCGCGAATATCAAAGGGACTGACACAACATGCGTTAATAACTGTAGAAACACTTCCAACACTGTTAAAGTTACTGAAATAGAATTAATAATGACATGTACGTTCTTAGAAGTTTCTATATAAATAACAAAAATCTCCAAAAAACTAAAGTGTGTCCATACTCACAATTTAAGCATGTATTCATTTTAAATAATTCACCAAAGAGCTGCACATGCGGCACTTCTTGTAATGGCAGATCCAGATCACTTTTATGCCTTTTACTTTATGATGTCACAATAAATACTCTTGACAATAAGTCCATTAAAGTGAAGCCTTTTATGTTTTCAAAACTCTCACCATGGTCCATATAATCAGAAAAAGCTGTTTGCTCAAGATTGTACACATCTTCCCGAGGCAAGAGAGTTAACTGACTTTAAAAGTCCAGTTCCACCCTTGCCGAACTAGGCTGGAATTCCTGGGCTCGATCGTAGCGCCCCCAGTGGCTATTACCAGTTATGTCCCTTCTATCCCTTCTAAGCCTATCCTATAGACAAATCATTCGTCACCACTCGCCCCTTTCCGTAACCTGCAAGAAGACTCGTCCCCCTATCGATGAATGTTATGTGCGAAAATACGACAAACCAATCAGAATGCGCGTATGATTTCTAGTTCTTCATCAGAGAATCCCTCAGAAATAATTTTTGATTTTACATATGTCCTGCGTCTAAAAATATACCCAAGACACAGTTAAGTGTGTTCAATCATACTGTATAATTCCGCAAGTCCCGATGTGCTTTAAATTGCATCTGAAATATATATAATATATGGGGAAATATATGTGAACCATTACGCAACGAGTTGACAATGGTTTTAGGTATGCCCGTTTGCGCTGAGACGGAACCCGGTCGCACAAAATGGCCATGAGAGGGGCACGAGTCGCTATTCGGCTTGTCCCGGAATAACACGAGTTGGTCACGAATGATAGACAAATCAGATTCCACCTCTCGCATCACTTGCTTTTGCTTCACACAACATGGTGGCACCCGGTCAGGACGATCTGATCGATAATCAGTATCTATATCGTGATAAAGGGGTCTAACATCGCGAAATGCATCATATCACGTGAGCACCTTGATTAAAAACTGGAAAAATTTGGAAAATATCTGCTGACAACGAGGTGTCGGTGCACATGCTTTGCAAAACCTGCAATCAACAGAAATCTGCACGACAGTTTACGAACCGGATTTCGATATCGGTGCGCGATTTTGATTGGACTATGCATAGACTCGTTAGTCTAGCCAAAATGTTACTCCATAATACCAGCCTAGTTCGGCAAGGGTGGAAAGTGGACTTTTATAGTCAGTTAACTCACTTGCCTCGGGAAGATGGATTGTACAGGCGATCCGCACACACTAAAACACCACATGTGTTTCATGGAAAGTGTTTGCATCTATAGACTAGTATTATATCTGCCTATATTCCGCTTCATAAGGGGCGGTCGGGTAGCCTAGTGGTTAAAGCGTTCGCTCGTCACGCCGATGACCCCGGTTCGAATCCCGACATGGGTACAATGTGTGAAGCCCATTTCTGGTGACCCCGACGTGATATTGCTGGAATATTGCTAAAAGCGGCGTAAAACCAAACTCACTCACTCACTCCGCTTCATAATGTCACTATATTTAAAGGAAACTTATCCAATAAAGCGAAACCCTTTTATTCTATTTTCTCAAGAAAACCTGTGGCACAAGTGTTCAGTCCGATTTGTCACGGGCGGTCAAAATCAACTTACATGCAGAAACGCATCATCAAATGTGTTTACGTCTGTTGAATAGTACTATATCTGAGCAAATACCTTCTGATCAACTTAAGTGCGATTTTAATATATCACAGTACACCGCATTTGAAGAAAAACACGTCCGTTGAAGTGAATCCTTTTAATTCTACATTCTCAACATTGACTCTGGTCTGTGATCGTCCGACTCGGCCCGGGCGCTTAAAGACAACTAAAACGTCACAGAGTGAGTGAGTGAGTTGGGTTTAACGCCGCTTTTAACAGTATTCCAGTTATATCACCATGTGTCAGCTTACTGTGGGAGGAAAGTCCGAAGTGATGCAGGTGTCAGACATTTACCACTTCGGTGAAACCCACGAGCACGGGTATGGTGCTGACAAACCTAGAAACATAATCGGGCCGAACAGGGATTCGAACCCACAATCATAGATTTCTGGCGTGCTATCGGAAGATATGATAGCAGTCAATAGATGTAAACACATTTGATTATACATCTGTGACGGTTAGGATGATATTTACAGACCTGACCAAGTCCGACCGAACACCTGCAATAGCGTGAAACGTTAAGAGTATGGGGAAATGGTTTCATTTTGAGGACATTTATCGCTTTAAATTCCACCATCTGTGTCACTACAAAGATATATTTAAGTAGATATAATACTATATTATATCTAAATAATCAAGAGGAAAAAGTGTTCCACATTAAACCAACGTGTCTGCTTTAAATAGCTCTACTAAGAACAGTGACACTGTAAAGTGGTATTTACTTATGGTACTATTCTACAGATGTAAAAGCTATGTCGGACTGATGGAAAGTTGCATCACGATAGTTGAAAATAGTTCATGTTTCAATTCCTATTTCGTATAACGATTCCCCTTTTACACGTTGATTATTTCAGCCACGCAAACAGACCGCACGACTTCCAACCTTTCAAGCAATTTACTCGTAACAACTTAATTATGTTGCACGTTTGTCGATTGTGATTGGTCATTAATGTCGTGTGTGTATGTTACATGCATGTACGGCTGACTATAATTGAGTACTTTGGCAAAAATAAACGTTGGCAGGTCTTGTCCGGCCTTGCTTTTAGGCAACCGTATTTGACCCAGTTTCATACACAAAGCGAAACGGAAACAGCTTCTCTTACTCGCTGTAAACACTGTCTTTCAATAAAGTCAGTTGAGCGTATTGAATCAGTTGATTTGAATACATTTTGTTCACGGTTCCTCTCGGTTACACGAATGGTGCTGGCACTTCTTTGTGGCTCCCGGCCCACGGCACATAGGAGCCTTCCCCCACTCCCAATTCACGATTCCCGAGAACAACGAAATTTATTGTTGACGGGAAGTACGAGCTATTAATAGACTTCGGTCTTTCCTAGAATGTGTCACAATAATTTAGAGTGAGGAACGCACATACAGATTGGTGGAACCGAAGGGGATTTCCCCGTGCTTTCCTTCCTTACAACTAATATACAGTGGTCCCTCGCTACAACGCTACCAATGGGGTCCAAATAATTGATGGGCGTTATAGGCGATGAGCCGTTTACTCTCAGTAATAAAAGTGTACATAAATATTGGGAGCCATGCGTTACCGCGCGTAGTAACCGAGGTAGCGCTTTATCGAAGAGCACAATAGCGAGGGATACACTGTATGTATTAAACAATAGACTGGGGTTTCAATGTCGCCCCCTACCCCTTCCCCAACTTCCTGCTCGTCAGATGATCGACATGTCAGCCATTCAAATTGTATGAGAAAATCCTATTTTATCATACCACTACATAACCGAAACTAGAAATTTAATATCAATATTAGTAGCACACACACACATTTTGTACTCACATTATTGCCTTGTTTTATCCTTGGTCACAGTGGAGATTTACGTTTCGAGTCAACTGTTCTACTTCTCATGGTGATCAGTAAGTAGTACCTGTAATCCCTATACCTTATCTTCAAGCCGTGTCATCTTTCAATTTATCAATATATTTTACCCATCTACAATTTACTGGATACAGAATTAACTTCCCATTTCATATACCAGGAAAAAATATTTTTTTACAATGAGTATACATATATGTGAAATGAGCTTTCGTGAGTCCTGTTTATTACGAAAGGCGAATTTTAATCACTTATCAACAAAATTACAACTCAGTTCCGTGGTTCCTAGGATTTCCGCGTAGGAACGTAGGTCCCTAGAAACCTATGCTTGTAGGAGGCGAATGAATAGATTGGGTCGTCAGACTCAGTGACTTATAATGAATTGATTGATTGTATGTCATCGCATCCTAATTGCGTGGATCGATGCTCGTGGCGGTTCGTTCCCAAATGTAAGAAATCCCATTTGTCAGACGACCCATTTGTCAGACGACCCAATCGTCAGACAGACCAGTCAAGTGTGACCAGTGTAACTTCCTGGTCTTACATGCTAGTTAATGAGCTGCACCCAACTGTGGGCAGAGTATGCTACTCCAACTCGTTAAGTGATACAAGTTAACCAGATTGGAACCGTAAACATCCGGGATAGAATAGGTCTTCAGCAACCCATTCTTCTGTAAAAGGCGACTAGGCTTGTCGTAAGAGGCGACTAACGGGATCGGGTGTTCAGCCTCGCTGACTTGGTTGATGCATGTCATCGATAGGAATTGATCGGATCGATGCTCATAATGTCACTCACCTGATTGTCTGGTCCAGACTCGATTAT